GATGTAAATTTATTTAAATATTACATTTAAATTTCTTGCGCAATGCTAGATGTACATGAATTTAGTTAGTTAATACGGAGTAATTGTTAGTATGTATAGATAATTGTTATTTATTCTGTATCCCACTGTAGAAGGGGTGTACACCAAACACCTAACATTTTGGCAAATTTTATTGTGGGTTATTCATTTAATATTAAATCCTTTAATATAATAAAGGAGACTCGGATGCACAGAAATTTAACATTTGGCATGTCTATGTGGCAAAATTTAAAGATGTCAGCACGCTACGTAATATCCAAGTAAACCAGCGGAAATAAATTATATACGATGCACCAACGGATCTCCTGTTGGAAACAATTGACCACAGATTTTCTACGCGATAATCACTGGCCTTCAACAAAATTCTTTCCTTCAGATTACAACAATACGAACTCCTATTATGATGATAATATAAAATCATTAAAAATAAATATGAAAAATATGAATACTATTTAAAAAACAAATATTATATTTTTCATTTAATTTAAATAGAATTTTAGGACCATGCTACATATATTAATCCTTTATCTTACTTCCATATTTAAAAATTACATACTTAAATAATAAGTTACAAAGGTTTATTGTGGAAATTCGTGTATAATAAGAGTTAAAATCAATAGAGTACCTATATTATTGGAAATTAGAATATTATTTTTTTACAAAAAAAATATATTAAGAAACAAACCTAAATAATACTAAATTTGAAAATGATGATCACGAGTATATTACTCATCACCTTACTTATACTCCCTCCGTCCCATTTTAAATTGCATGTTTGCCTTTTTTCTCCGTCCCAAAATAAGTTGCCTGTTAGTTGTTTTCGTAAACTTTTAAAAATAAAATACCTAAACTACCCCTAAAATAAGTCACTCTTCTTCACCTTATCTTCTCATTTATCATCACCCCTTCTAAAAAGTAATGACAATTTTAGAAAATTAACTCTATTTTTTATTTTCCTTAAATATGCCCAAAAGTCAAAACAGGCGATTTAAATTGGGACGGAGGGAGTATTATTTATGTTGGATAATACTAATATTATTTTGGATCCGTTTACTTATATATGGAAATCCTTAATTATGTGTCTTGGATAATCAATAATATTATATGTTAATATATGTTTTCAGATTACAATAATACGAACTTCTATTACGAAAATAATATAAACAATTAAAAATAAATACGAAAAATATGAATACTATTTTAAAAAAATAAAAATAATAATTTTCATTTAACTTAAATAGAATTTTAGAATCATGCTACATATATTAATCCTTTATCTTACTTTCATATTTATAAATTTTATACTTAAATTAATAAGTAACAAAGATTTATTAATGGAAATTCATGTATATATAGGTTGAAATCAATAGAGTACTTATACTAATAGAAATTCCAATACTATTTTTGATTCCTTACTTATTTGTCTTAATTCCATGAGTATATATTATTGATCACCTTACTTATATATGGTCATTAACAAAATTTACAGAAAATCTTATTAAGAAACAATCCTAAATAATACTAAATTTGTAAATTATGATCACGAGTATATTATTCATCACCTTACTTATATTATGTATCTTGGATAATACTAATATTATTTTCGATATCTTTATTTATATATGGCAATCCTTAATTATGCATCTTAGATAATCAATAATAGTATATGTAAATATCTGTATTCAGATTACAACAATACGAACTCCAATTACGATGATAATATAAAAAATTAAAAATAAATATGAAGAAATATAAATACTATTTAAAAAATAAAAAAAGAATATTTTTAATTAATTTAAATAGAATTTTAGGACCATGCTACATATATTAATCCTTTACCAAGGAATTCTCACCACAATAAAGTCATTCCTAAAATACAAAAGGTAAGCAAATAATTAAATGTGAAACTATCCTAATACGGCCGTGCATTAGAAAATGATTCATGCATAGCCATGAATGGTATGATATGATTTCAAGAATAGATTACTTCCTTAACATATGGGGATTGACAAAATTTACGAAAAAATATTATTAAGAAACAATCCTAAATAGTACTAAATTTGAAAATTATGATCACAGGTATATTATTCATCACTTTACTTATATTATGTTTGTTGGATAATACTTATATTATTTTGGATTCCTTTACTTATATATGGCAATCGTTAATTATGTATCTTGAATAATCAGAAATATTATTCTGGATTCGTTTATTTTTAGTAAGAAATTCGTTATATCTAGAATGGAACCAATATTATTTTGAATTCCTTACTTATATATCTAACTGGCAATAAGTTAAATTACTCACTTTTATATCTAAATTTATGGAAACTCTTATATACTTGGGTCAAAATCCTATTATAAAAAGAGATATATAATGAGTTGAAATGTGACATCCATCACACATTTTCATTTTCCATTTCAATACATAGGCATTCAGAATTAATTATGCAATAAATAAGCGGAGAATCGTTAATTCAACTTCAGCCTTTTGTTTTTAAAAGGATTGGTGGTAGGAGCATCCTATTTTTCAATTTCAATTGGGGCTATGGAAAATCAAGTTGACGATACATGGACGAGATCAGCTAGAGATGCAAGAAAAATGAGAAAATGAATACTTCAACAAAAAAAGATAGAAAAGGTATGCACTTTAAATATTGTTTTATCTTAATACATTTAATTATGTTTTATTGTTTTAAGGTAATTTGATGCATAACATTTTTGAATTATTTAAAATAACAAAATGAAATGGGATATCTTAGTGACCAGAATTTTTGTATTTAAAATTTATATGGTTGCTTTTTAATGAGCATTGAAATTTTTTTTATCTTCACATATAAATCGTTAGTATAGATATATTAATTTATGTTAAATAAAAAAAGTTTTATACATAATTTAATATTAGATGTCAATTTTAGAAGGATTTAAAAAATTCTCCATGTGAAAATGAACACTCCAAGAAAAGATATAAATATATGTTTATTCATGTAATTTTATAGTCATGTTATTTTATCAATTATAATCTGCATCCGTAAAAAATTAAACGTCGTTCATAGGTTGCATAGAAATCATGGATAATTAAGATGTATAATTGTTGATTTATCTAGGTATGCATATAGCTCACTGATTATTTTTTATTAATTTTATATTTACATCAATAGGAATAAAATGATGTCTAACCATGACTCTTTAATTTCATTTTTCTACATTTTTTATGAAAAAAAAAAGTTTATACATATTGAATATTTTAAACAATTGAATGGACGAATATTAACAAAGTTGAGTAAAAACATATTCGTATTTAAAACCTTTTCAATAAAATTCAAAATTTTGCAATAAATTTGATATGAAATGGGTGAATATAAAAAAAATGTGAGTACATATTTTAAAACAAAATGATATGCATGCGAGGACAAAAAATTAGGCATTGATACGGAATGATCAATGTAAATAATTCAAAGTTCAAATATAATTTTTAAATTGGAAAATTTACTTATATCTAACACGTAATTCATTTATCAAAATGGCAACTAAGCTGTGTTCAATTGAAATAATTGATACTCCATATATATATATATTCATAGTCAGAGAAATTTATCTAAATAACACTAAAACATAATGACTTTCCCTAAATAGCAACATATGTTTTTTATTTCCCAGTGTAGCACTTTTGAACGAAATCAAATGTTTGGGAATCCCAAACCACAAAATAGTCTTGAAAAAGGGGTACCGATTATGCTATTGAGGAACATTGACCAAACATCTGGATTGTGTAATGGGACAAGATTAATCGTTCAAGAGCTGCGAAATAATGTTATCGGTGCAATTGTGGTTTCGGGTAATCGAGTCGGGGAAAAAGTTTACATCCCTAGAATGAATTTGGTACCATCTGATCTAGGGCTACCCTTGAAGTTTCAAAGAAGATAATTTTTCGATCGCCTCATGTTTTGCTATAATAATCAACAAAAGTCAAGGTCAAACATTGTCATTTGTGTGATTATTTTTAACCAAGTCAGTGTTCACACATGGTCAACTATATTTTGTTGTTTCACGAGTGACGACAAAGACCAGATTAAAAATATTAGTTCTAGATGACAATAGAAACCCTTGCAATCATACTAAAAATGTTGTATACCTTGAAATCTTTCAGAAAATTTGGTATTAAAATAAACATTGTTAACTCTACATTCTGTTCCTCAAATATTATTTATTTTACTTTGGCTTTTTTCATTTGTAGTATTAAAAATCATGTGAGCAATATATTTACTTTATTCTGAAAAATAAATTTCATTAAAATAAACTCAGAATCGACATAAATTTCTTTCGACCCCGTGCATGGCACGAGTCAAAATACTAGTACTCCCTTTGTTTCTTACTATATTCTTCTAATTTGATTTTTTTAAATTAAAATAGATGAATTCTAATACTCCCTCTGTCCCCCATAGATCTTCCCAATAATCCTTTTTCTTTGTCCACAATAGATCTTCTCATTTCATTTTCTAACCATTAAAATACCATAAATACTCCCACTTACTTTATTTATTACACCTCACCCACGTCATTTAATACACTCCACCCATTTTCATTAAGGGTATTATGGTAAACTTTCACATTTTTTCAACTCTCCTTAAAAATCACCCATTTTCATGAAGTATTTAATTGAGAAATTTACCTAAATAGGACTAAAACATAATGACTTTCTCAATATAAGACCATATGTTTTTATTTCCTAATGTAGGACTTTTGGTCATTAACAAGTATTCATTATTCAAGTAAATGTTCATCATTACTGGACATTATTCTTCCCACTAGGTTATTATTAAGTCCTATTTAGGGAATAAAAAAGTTTAAATCTTACATTGGGAAAGTCAATATGTTTTAGTCCTATTTAGTGCAAATTTTACTATTTAATTTTGTAATCGAGTTTGACTTCTTATATACGGAGTATACTATAGTGGAGGATCGTGATGTACGAGTAAATTTATTTACCCGGGGTAAATTACATCTATATTTCATTATATCTTGGCCTCAAACAATTCTGAAAATCGCGATTCTGCAATTCCCTCTCAAAGTCATGGCGATGTTATCTCGGCTTCGCCACTCCGCCATTACCGCCCTTTCTCGTGGGAGTCTCGATACCATCTCTCCCAGCCGTCACCGTCTCTCCGGTCGCCGGAATCCCATTCTTTCAGGCGATCATTGTGATGCTTCCCAGAAGACCGTGCCCCATTTTTCTATTCCACGCGCCCCATTCTCCTCCGCCGCCTCCGGCCGGAATAATAATAATCCCAGACCCTTTTCAGGATTTTTGGCTGGCTGGAGATCCAGAGTCGCCGCCGACCCTCAGTTCCCGTTCAAAGTGGCGATGGAACAGCTGGTCGGCGTCGGCGCCTGCGTCGCCGGCGACATGGCCACACGCCCTAATTTCGGCCTCGGCGAGCTCGATTTCGTCTTCTCCACTCTAATCGTCGGCTCCATTCTCAATTTCCTTCTGATGTACCTCCTAGCTCCGACTCAATCGTCCTCCGCCGCCTCCCGATCTCCACCGTCGGTCTTCGCGGACTGCCCCCGGAGCCACATGTTCGAGCCCGGAAATTACGGCGTCCTCCGGCGCCTGGGCACGTTCGCTTACAAGGGGGCTCTGTTCGCCGCCGTCGGGTTCGGGGCAGGGCTGGTGGGGACCGCCGTTTCCAACGGGCTGATCGGGATAAGGCAGAAGACGGAGCCGGGGTTCGAGCCGCCGAACAGACAGCCTCCGACGGTTCTGAACGCCGCCACCTGGGCGGCTCACATGGGAATCAGCAGCAATCTGAGGTACCAAGCGTTGAACGGAATCGAATTCTGGCTGGCGAAGCGGCGGCTCAGCCCGGTGGCGTTCAAGAGCTCGGTGGGGGTGCTAAGGTGTCTGAATAACGTTGTTGGAGGGGTGTCGTTTGTGTTATTGGCCAGGTTCACCGGCTCCCAACAGATACACTCAACCCCAAACTAGTTTGTTTTTCTTTGTACTTCTATGTTTTAAAACAATGATCTAATGTCATAAGATGACTCAAAGGAATATTTCCTTGGAAAAATTGATGATTCATATTTCTTTAAATTTTTCTAGCTTCACTGCACCCTCAATCCCTCTAAGATCACCGATTAGCTACAGTAGTCATTGTAGTCAATCCACGATCTTAAGAGGGAGTAGGAGGGCTGGAGGTGCAAAGAGGCAGAGGGTTAGAAAGGTAGGAACTATAGTTTTACCAGCGGAGTCTCATAACCGGCTTGAGTCATGCTATGACATTCAAATCGAATGTCAAATGAATAACGCTATTAAAACTTATCTTTTCATTTAATAAAATAATATAGTCATATCATCTCTTGTTTTGTACTCCGTATAACTTTTGATGTAATTGTTAAATATATAAAATTTATTTTTAAATTTAACACTTACAATTAAATAAATTAAATTGAAATAAAAGTTGGTCATACATCGTAGATTGAAACGAGAAATTAATTTTAAGATGGATGGAATAATACTTTAAAATAAATTTCATATTTTTAAATTACTCATACATCTGAGATAAGACGCCATTGTGGGTCAAATTCAATAGAAACATTGTTATCACGGTTAAAATGACGAGCACATAAATGATATTAGGTAAAATGTAAAAATCGTTATGTATGGGTAAAAAAACCAGTGCAAGAGCCCTCAATTGGTAAACAATGCCAGTTATGTAACACCCTAGTCTGTCCAGGTCTGCAGCCCCTTTTGGACTAAAATATAAACTTGGTAATCATAAAATTTAAAATATTTCAAACATCTTTATTTATCATAAATAGTATTCAATACATAAACTATAGTAATACGAAGTGTTTAATAATGCGAAAGTGAATTTAAAGCATGTCTCATGTCAATCACAATTAACTATTTTATATCTTTAAGATAATAATTTAAACCCACAAATCCATCACAACCATCTCGCCCCAACTGCCGCCAAGAATATATCACTTCATTCTTTTTGTTTACCTGCGTGTAGCAAATAAAACATACTACACGCTAAGTCTCGAAGTTGAGTAAAGATATCTAATGCGTCGAACATCCATATGAACTGAATCTCAATTCATAATCAAATCATTTGATATCATGCACATAATATTCAATTCAAACATTCATCATTCATGATATTCTCAATATTTTAATTCAAGTCATTTCATGATATATACAATATTCAATATTTAGTATTTCAACAGTGCTCTTAAATTATTCTTAATCTAAGGCCAAATCATTTTGACAACAAGCTCTTAAACTATTCTTAGTCTAAGACACTAATTTTAACACACTCTTAAACTATTCATAGTTTAAGGTATTTCTAATCAACTCTTAAGCTACTATAGTTTAAGGTACAATTTTCAAAAAAATTTCCTGCTCTTAAACTAGCCTTAGCTTAAGATATACAATGAACCGAACAGCGGACTACTCACTGTTGGGTTGGGTGGTGCCCCTAAACGAGTAGGTACTAAAGTTTGGTTTGTGGATTCCGTACGTATGTTTTAACCCTGGCCACCGGACATTATACCCGCAATGCCTAACTAAATGGGTATATCTTAGAGTTCTTCTATATACCCTTAAAATCAACATCAATTACCTAAATTCGGCAGCATCTCTTCATTATACAAGTGTTACTTCTTTACTCCATCCTAACTCATTCTTGAAATGTCACCCTCACTAGTAAATGTATTTCATTTTCTTTGATCTATCAAGATTTCAGCAGCATTTTCCAATAGTTCTCCAAGAAAATGACAGAACAAAGAAAAAAATACATTCACCACCTAAGTGAGAGAAGCATTCCAAGAACAGCTCCAAACTGGGAGCTATTTAAAATTTACTCCTAATAAGTAAATTTTAAACGGGTATCTAAGTTGGTCAATGTATGTTATTACTATAGAAAAAATATCAGGTCATGTATATTAAAGAAATAGTAATTAATATATATCACAATAATAACACCAACAAGTTTAATATTTGATTTCAATATCACAATGTCACATTTCAACTAAGACATAAACACAAAATCCATTCAAGTATATATATAATTATTCAAATTTGAATGAGTTAGAAAAAAATTGAAATGAATTGAATATATGTGAAAAAGTTAAAAAAATGGAATGCGAAGGAAAAAAAGTTGAACCGACACTAGTACTGAAAAAGGCTAATCGATCACTCTCTTTGGATCGGTTTTACAAACAACCGATGGAAAAGGGGGAAATAACGGCATGGTGGAATGTGGAGTAGTATAATTAAAGATTTAAAGTGAAAATTAAAAAAAAACCTTAGAAATGGCGGTGTGGTGGACTGTGGAAGACGGCGTGCGCGAATGGATGGTGACGACCGATAGGGACGACGGTGAACGCATGGTGGATGCGACGACGGCGAATGGAGAACAGTGATGACGAAGGAGACATGAGGACAAAGAACGGTGAGGACATGGAGAATGACGAGGGACGAAGCAGCGGCGATGGGAAAAAAGGAGATCGCGTGAAGAGATAAGACCTCTGTGGTTTAATTTAACACTGTCTTTTGCATCGGTTATTAATAATAACCGATTCAATTGGCAATTGAATCGGTTATTATGAATAACTCATGCAAAAGACGATAAGCATTTGCATCGGTTATTTATAACCGATTCAATTGCCTATTGAATAAGTTATTATACATAACCAATGCAAAAAACATCCGGTTCCCGAAATTATTTTCCCCTTTTGCATCGGTTGTTTCTAAAACCGATGCAAATACAGTGATCGATTAGCCTTTCTTGTACTAGTGTCGGTTCAACTTTTTTTCCTTCGCATTCAATTTTTTTAACTTTTTCACATATATTCAATTCATTTCAATTTTTTCTAACTCATTCAAATTTGTTCACTTCATTTCAGTTTCTTTCATAGAAAAGAAAAGAACTTAAATTAATTAGAACAAAAAAACAAAACTACTCGGTGGTGTATATTGGGATAAAGGAAGGAGATCAAATTTACTAGTTTAGTTTTGTTTAATTTGAAAACAAGATAGTACTCCGTAGATCTTTAGTCTATTGTACTGATGAAACATTGTTGTCAATTGAGGCACTTAAGTTTTGCTTATATTCCTTTAATGTGGTGAGTGGTGACATTCTTCTATATGGTACTCGTAATGCCATTTTCCAATTGCGGCATTATGATATGACAAAGTTGGAAAAAAAAGGTAACCTAACTGCAAGTCTTTGCTTATTGGGATTTCTTTTTTACTTTAGTTTCACCATTCTTTTTCTTTTGTTCTTGATCTTTTATAGGGGAATTTTGTTATACTTGTTAGTTTCTACCCCTCGACTTCCAAAGTACTAGTCTCATTTAGGCTGGATAAGTAGTTTTACAACTATAAATTTTGCGGTGTAGTGCGTATATCAATTTTACACGGTCTGTTTTTGCCATTTTATATATGACACAAGTGTGAGTTTTAGCTGTATTATTTAAAAAATGAAATGATTATGAGAGAATTTAAGATTGAGTAAAGATCACTGAACTGAGTCATAAGATACTTGAATTGAACCATATTAAAAGATTAAATGCAATTCATTACTTAGTTCAACTCTAAAGCTTATAAACTGATTATTTTTCTTTTCAACGTCCGACGTGAGATACTTTAATAGATTAAAATTTGATGTACATTTTTCTTGTATGATCCAACACAGATAGCCACATGCATGTTAGTTGTTTATTCTTTTCAACATTATATTCGAATTATGAGACTTTAAACTTTAGTTATGAGACACCAAACTCCAACATTTAGATTTCAATATAAAAAATTCTGTATTTAGATTTCAAATTCAGTTACGAGACTCTAGCCATTGTTTGAATGGTGAGAAGTGAGTGAGAAAGGAAAATGTGAAGTGACAAAATACAATTCCCAATGTATTTTCTCTTGTTTGTTTAAATAAGAAAAGTAAAATTTGCACTAAATAATACTAAAACATATGTTATTTCCCAATGTAGTACTTAAACTTTTTTATTTCTTAAATAGTACTTGAATAATGTCTAATGGCGAAAACAATGTCCAGTGATGTTGGACATTTAGTTTTAACAATGTCCAGTGGCGGTTGACATTTACTTGAATGATGACTAGTGGACAATGACTATTGAGAAATAAAAACATATAGTACTACATTGGAAAAATTACTATATTTTAGTATTATTTGGATAAATTTCTCATAAGAAAATGAGAGGAGAAAAATAGTGGGTGGGTCCAAGTTGAAAAATTTTCTATCTCATGTAGTGAGAAAACTAGATCAGGGAGAGAAAAAATTAAAATTACAATTTTACACATATTTTAATGGAAAATGCTAGGGTACACTTTAGTGTACCCCAAATATCCCCCACCCCCTCCATCACCACAAAAAAAGGCATATAAATTTTAAAAAAAAATAAAAAATAAAAATAAAATAAAATGAATGGTAAAGAGGCATGTGGTGTACATTTGGAGTACACTTTTGGTGTACCCCTAGCATCACCCTATTTTAATCTCTCATCATCCATTCAAAAAAGAACAAAAATGTCTTTTGCTTTATCACATTTTTTTCTTTTCATTTTTTCTCATCATCCAAACAACCATTATTTTACTTTCAATCTTTCATTTTCTTTTCATTTTCTCACCATTTTCTTTCTCATTATTTTCTTTCCTCTCATTTTATCATACCATCCAAAATTCCAAATAAAGGGTAAATTTCAATTATCACAGTAAAAAGAATTACTTTACTAAAAAAAATTCAGAGTAATGATAGAAACGATAAACAAAACAAATGTGGCGACTGGCGAGCCTGGGAAATGAGTCAAATAACACACGCGCCCACTCAACTCGCTTCCATTTCTGTCTGCGAGTAAATTTTTTTAATTAAAATTTTATTTGCTAAAATCTAACATGATTTGCCCCCTTTAACTCGGCAAATTCTTACTACAATCTCTCTCCTCTCTCTCCCCTGCAAGCTGCTCACAGATCCAATCTCTCCATGTGAGTGCACACACTCAGACAAAGCTCCAAGGATTTCATTACCTCGATCGGCTCTGATGAAGTACTGAATTAGTTTTGTTCTCGCATTGATGCATAAGTTGGAGATGAATCGGAGCTTTCGGAACTCGGTGACCGGCGGCGGGATGAATTTCCCGCTGGCGTCGCACCACCGGCGCGGACTTAGTCTCAATGGAGCATCCAACTGTGAAGCCTCTGATGATTCGCTGGATCTCTTCTCCAAAAGTCGTCGCAGCCTCTCCGCAGCCTCCTCCGACGATTCAGACGGTACCGTCGTGTCCTTTTTGTGTGTGTTTGGATATATGTGTGTAGTAATTCAGCAATGCGTAACTTCTGCTGCTCAATCAGGGTTTGTTTTGGTAAAGTTCAGGATTTGTTTTGAGTTTTTGTTGTTTATGATCCTAGATTACCTGGACTGCGTTTGATCTTTCGATTTTACTTGGGGATTGAATGATATGCCTCTGGCTCATTGAGATCAATGCTGATCAGCATATCTGAATCGCATGTTTAATTAGTAAAAATAAAGGGTTTTTATTAAGTTTGAGTTGAAAGTTTGATGGATCTCATGTATTTATGCAACTGCAGATGGATATCTGGATGATTAGCCTCTCTATGTAGCAAGATAGTCCCCTAAGGGTCAATGTTTATTAGGAGTAATTTGTATTGCTCAAATATCTTTTGATTGTTTTGCAGGAACAGTTCCGGTTAAACTGGGAAGGCTTTCAGTTGGATCAGTGATTGTGGGGAAGAATGGATCAGATGATCTGTTGTCATCTTCTGAAGAAGGCAAACATGATTATGATTGGTAAGTATCCCATGCTTAGTTTCGTCTTTGTGGCATTAATTAGTTCAAACACCATAAATGCTATGGTAGTATTGATACACTGGTGAGTTAATGGTCCTAGTTAGTTACTTAGTTTAGTAGATCATAAATGAGATGACTTTATGTGAATTAGTTTAAGTTTTAGCTTAAGATTTATAAGGGAAATGAGTTATCAGTTATGTCCAATTAGTACTTTCCTCAAATGTTTGTACCAACAGCCCTTACCTTTCCATGTCAATAGGCTTCTAACTCCTCCAGGAACTCCGCTTCCTTCATCCAACGTAAATGAACCTCAACCAGGACATGTCGCTCTGGCTTCAAGAAGCCGCCCTTTGGCCAGATCAGTCTCGGCATCTAAGCCGTCAAGGGTAAGATTTCTGATTGTAAATTAACGTGCATTAATATGATCACTGATGAGTGCACATTGATTGTTTTCAACTTTCTATCATGTAAATAATGTATTGACACATCGCTTCTACACAATTTTGCATCTCAGCTTTCTGTGTCTCACTCTGAGAACAGTAGTCAGCCAACAAGGCCAACTCGCAGCAGCTCTGTAACCCGTCCTTCTATCTCCAGTTCACAGTACAATAACTACTCAAACAAATCAAGTAATAATATTCTGAACACAAGCTCTGCTTCAGTTTCATCCTATATTAGACAATCTACTCCCACACGTTCTTCATCTTCAGCCAGACCATCCACCACCACCACTTCACGCCCAACACTGTCAAGGCCTTCAACTCCTCCGAGAGGACATCCATCCCTTAGCACCGGTTCCAGACCATCCCAAAGCTCGAGACCTTCCACCCCAACCTCTAGGCCTCAGATTACTTCATCGATGAGTTCTTCTGCTCCTCGATCTACTACATCAAGACCATCAACACCTACACGTCGGAATTCTTTTCCGTCAGTTTTGCCAACA